TAGCCTAGCCTCCCCGGCGTATACGACCCATCTGCTGTCTCTAACATCAATCAATTCATTCACGGATGTAGAAGACAAGAAACAACTTCAGAAGTAATCACGACGAAAATTTTAACAAAATTATGCAATAAAAAAAAGGTACGAAAACAACGAGTAAACACAATGAATCCAAAAACACCAATTGATATGACACACCACACGTATATACAAACTGTACACACAAACTCGCGGATCATGTCTTGATGGAATTCCTTTGAAGAATCGCAGGACTTACACCAGTACGCCTACAACCCTTCACAGGTTGACGATTGTAATTTGTGGAATGTCCGGACACAAACAAGATTAACCAACAATTACATTAATTGGAACTCACACAATTATTTAACACAAACATATGTACAATCAACACATCAAATGTTGTGGATTCTGGCACGGCAAACTACCCTTGAAGAACTGTAGGACTTACAGCAGTACGCCTACATTCCTTCTCAGGTTGATGATCCAAGTGGAAGACGTCCGGACACAAACAGAATTACCAACAGCTAGATGACAGATGATATCAATTCAGTATATACAATATGAACATATGTACAAAATCACACACCAAGCACATTGGACTGCGCTACCCTTTGAAGAATTGTAGGACTTACAGCAGTACGCCTACAACCCCTCTCAGGTTGACGCTCTAGGTTGGAAAATCGTTGCAGAGTTCATTTGCTGACTTCCTTCTATCAGCTATATCCTCAAATCTGAACGGTAACACGCTCATGTCATTGTATCGTAGAATATAGATGACGAACAAACACACGAAGTATCTGGTCAACCAAGCGTAGGCACAGAGTAATTTACACCAAAGATAATAGCATTCAAATAGTAACTTGAAACTAGAAATGCCTTTATTCGTGCAAGTCAATTTAACAATTACTCTCTCGTTTACACTTGGCTTATCCTCACTAAACTGACCATTGATATTCGTCCTTTCAAACGAACTGATACTAGCATAGTCATTGCACAAGATACTTGAGTTGATGGGTGTCTGTTTCATTGTGGATGACAGCACCAACGACGACTGATTGATATCAGTTGATGAAGTTAGCGGTGGATCAAAAGCTGTTGTTGCTCGACTTTCAGAAAGTTGTCTACCTGCAAGACCACCACCACTGCTGTCTTTTACTATCAGCTCAGGTTTAGCACTAGCATCTGATGATAGGTGGGCTACATGCTGATCACTTACACTGACGGTCTCACAAGTATGCATGCCTTCTGCAACTGCACCTGCATTTATTTCTACTTCACGTTCAAGTTGTACAGAACCTTTGTTCAACTTAGCAGTAGTAGGCATATCCCTCATCTCATCATGATCAACCAAAGACAACTGTGAAGTATCATGATCATTATCACGAATATTCAATTTACCGTCAACTTCATCATTTTCAAACTCTTTAATAACAGAAGTAGACAATTTTGGTTCCTCCTCACAAATCATTAAAGGTTTTATATCTTCACTCTGACTAGTAATACCTTGTAAACTTGTGGAGTCAGAACTGCACTCTGAAGCAGTAACTCTATTCTGTGACACTCTATTCAACAATGGCTTACCAGTTGCAACTACAGACTTCTTGACCGCACCGTTATCGTCACACAATTCGGAGTCAGGCCTGGAGTTTACATTTAGCTTATCACTGAACTTGCTTACTGGTTCACAGTTCACCTTTGTATGCACCTCTTGCAAACGTGTAAAACACAACCGTGCTTGTCTTGCATCTTGTAACTCATCTGTTGAGGATGTACTACGAAACCTGTTACACTCACTAGGTCTATATGCATTACTAGACATCATGGAGCCTTCTCGATATCCACCTCTCTGAGGCCTATTCGTCATCAATGATTGCGTTTTACCCTCAGACTGCTCTATTCTAGGGGTGAGATTCAATATACTGGCAAACTTGCTCATAGATTGATTGACACTATCTTTTACTAGTTTCAGGATATCATCAAATTTTGGCTCGACACCCTCATCCTCCATACGGGAGCTTATCTTCACCCACTTCCTTTGCAGTCGAGTAGGTAGGCGTCTTGCTATTACTTCTAGTATAAAACTCGAGTTGAGGTCACTCATGCAATTCATCGAAATCAAGGTATTCTTATAAGTCATAAGATTATCTAAAAACTCAGTAAGTGCCTTGGAGTCATCTTGAAGTTGACTGCCGTTACCTTTGACAGCTTCGTATACGTTCCTTACAATCACTGAAGGTCTACCAAACCTTTGACGTAATATGCTCATAGCCTCAGCGTATCCCTCATTAGGGGGCATGAGCTTACAGCACTGTATAGCTCTTGAAGCATCTCCAGTGCAATACCTCATCAAATACATCAATTTCATTTCATCAGCTAATAAAAAACCACTCAGCATGATCTCAAACTCCTTTACAAATTGTAAATAATCAGCCGGGTTTCCATCAAAACACCGTGGTTCAAATTTAGGGAGTTTGATGTTCCTATTATCCCTGAACGGCGAAACAGTAACATCAACCATGTCATGCTTAACATCAGACACATCGTTACAAGTAACAGACAAGTCACAATGACTTACTTTCCTGTTTGCATCTAAGACGCTCTGTCCCTTCTTTGACCCAGGCATTGTTGAACTTGACCCAATTCCAAAAAAGTTCCAGATATTGCTTGTTCAAAGAGGACTTGACCGGCACCAGGAAAGATGAACGGTGACTATCCAAACTTTCACCAACTGTCTGAATCCGCGAATGTCTGTTTCTACCATCAGAAACTGTCAGTCACGTCTCATAAACCGTTAATGCCCAGCTCTTGCTACGCTCGGGCTCACGCTGTTCCTTGAAGTTTTTCAAAAACGCTTAGTAATAACGGACGAAAAACCAAAACACCGATTGGCTACTCGAGGATTCTTTATTGTTACACCAACGTATAAAAATAATGTTTTTACTAGGATCTGTGAACAAATATTACAATAATAATTCATAAGATTACTTCTGATGGTTTACTGCTGACTTCTTTCTGAACAGCGACCGATGAGACGATGACTGTCGTATTGATGCCTCCGCGAAAATTGGGGAAGTTGGTTTTGAGCAAACAACAATGTATTGATCGTTCAATCTTCAACTACATTGACAAATGCCTTAGGAAGATATAGCTTATTGGTTCTGTGCAATTATTGGTGAGATATAGGGACACAACTTTAAATGTGTGGACTGCCTTTACAGAGAGTCTACCGCCTAACATCAAATCTGTTACCACTCTGATAGTGAATGTCATTTAGAATGAAAGCCATAGGGGCCCTTAAGACGACCGATTTGTACAAACAATTTAATAAGTAAATCCACATCAGGAGGTGTCGTGCTTATAAAACATAGTGCTGCACATGTATGTATAATTTCCATCGTACACGTAAAACATATTTTGCTATCTACTGTAAATTATGACTGAATAATATAGTTCTATTTCTGTCACAGTTTTATGATGCCTGTAAACTGGCGTACCTCATGTACTGCACCATGAGAATAAATTTATTTATTGATTTAAATGAAATAAACATGAACATAACACATCAATGGACTATAATTCAAGGATTCTGCACAGAACAAAATTATGTATGAAAATTGACTTCAAGCTTTATTTTTTTCCCAGGCACTTATAACCCATCCACCAAAGACCTGGTTTTTTTGTTAATGCGAAGACAATACTACTGTAATTCCTGATGTGTTGCACTCACTGACAATCTAATGGACTTTTCCAACTGTGCACCGAAATGATTGTACATAAGTGAATAGGCTGTTTTATACTTTTGGGCTTAACATTTACCAAGTGTATGTATAATTTCCAGTGTACACGTAAAACATATTTTCTATCGACTGTAAATTATGACTGAATAATATACTTCTATTTCTGTAGCAGTTTGATGATGCCTGTAAACTGGCGTCCCTCATGTACTGTAGTATGAGAGTAAAAATTGTTTGTTTATTTAAAAAAATACTTTTATATTTCTCAGAGTCTCAACTATGCAGTGGAAAAACTTCAAGATTATAATGCAAGTGTTAGTCAAACCATAAACTGTTATAAAAACTACGGGATTGAAAATTTCACAAACAGGTCTTTCCACTACTCTTGTTTTTAATGTCATCATTTACTAGCTTGGCAGGGTTAAATTTCGCAACTAGAGGGCGCAGAACTTTAATGGATATAATACAAGCCATTTGGTAAAGATGGTCTTTCCATGTAAGGTCAAGGAGAAGTCGTGGAGATGAGGTATAGGATAACGATCTGGTACCGTAGCGTTATTCAAAGCGCGATAATCTCCACAACCCTGTCAGCAGTCCCTCTACCTGCCACCTTTTGTGATGAAGCCACTTTCCTGGCAAGTGATCATCCACGCAACATCCACGGGACTCAACAAACAATCAGTGATATCGGATTCTTCACATAAGAATTCTGGCTTGAAATCTATCCGAATATTCGAATTAAAAGGCAAACGGGTATATTGCGATTTGGGGGCGGAACCAAAAGAAGTATGTCTACTTTGATGTTTCAGTCTCCCGAAACTGTAAATCTTTTAATATCCACGAAAACGCTGATTAGTTTGTGCAGTTGCAATGTGGCACAGACCTCGTTCTGCCAGAATACATGGAATTAGGTTGCTTCTCTCCAAACACTATATGTTTTGTAAAATACAAAATGTTTGGTGATCAAGAGAGTCACGAGACTCTGGTTGAGGTAGAATATAACAAACTGTTGAAACTCAATCTTACATACTTGTCAAGTGTTAATAAGGGAAATAAGGGAACTCAAATAGGGCAGTCTTCAACAATGGACTCTAAAACACTACAATCCAGTCGGATGAGCCTCATAGTGCTCAGTGTGTCAGTCCATAAGTCAGCCATCATGATATTAGTTTTTGAGTTTTGAGGCTTTTAGAATTTACTAATAATATCTTCGTGATTTGAATACAGACTTAAATGGAAGTGAAGCGCTTAAACGTCAGTGTGATGAGTTGAATGGCCAGGAATCTCATCAAATATACGCGAAACCCACCTGTATCCACAGTAAATTTCAGCTGTCACCAGGGTGCAGTGAGTCTTATTAAACAGAATTACATCTAAAATTGATATTAACCACTGAGAATTGGCCTCGACGAAACATGATGGTTCATAGTTGATTGTAGAACATGTATGTGATATTGAAGCCTACTGTGGAAACGCGGACTTCTAGTGGTCATTCTGCAGTTTTGCGCCACATCAAGGTCAGCATACAAAATAAGTAAGCCATGCACTTTGCTGAGGTTTTTGTGCGTTCCCATCCCATGGGAAGTAATACTTCAAGTTTGCCACATATTTTTCTGTTATTTAAACCCTTATGTTTTACGTTTGCGTCTCAATGATAGCTCCAAATATGCTTTATCTTATGTTGCAGTGATAATTCACGTATTTTTGCAGTGATATAGGGACTTCCTTCAATAGTGTTCCCATCAGACATTCTACATTCACTATCCGATATCTTTATAACGAGCTAATGTATACTAGAGAGATTTATTTGAACTTGTATAGGCTTTAAGATGAAGGTCCTTGGTTTTTGTTAAAAATTTGGTCTATTTTTTCACGTCACTCGCTTACATTAGTTTCAGCTTTTACAAAGGAGTGTAGCGCAAAGAATGGTTATCCGTGGTTTGCGGCATACAATGTGTTACGGATGTGTTGCGGCTGTACCAACAGTTAACCCTTCCACTTATAAGTCGTCCTCTTTGCCCGAAAGGAGGAATACGATTATTATTCATTCCTTTTACTCCGGAATACATTGACTTGCAAAGAAAATCAAGTACAAGAAAACAATGAAATTCAATAGTTAAATTGAAAAGGTTAATAAAAAGTTTAGAATATTCAGGTTATTGAGCCAAGGAGTAATGCAAAGTGTTAGAGCGCGAGTTTAAGTGATAAACTTTGTTCAGCTTTGGCTTGTGAGTTTCAGGTGAATTTTCCATTTGGATATAGCCCTTGTGTTTCCTTGTTATCCATGTAAAGTGCTTAGATACAGAGGCAGCAAACTGGAAGAGGAAAGAGGTAGGGGCGCACTCGAGTCTTTGTTCTCTGATGCGCAGTCTTCCATGGGTTACCAGAAGGAAGGTTATATTGACAGAATATCTTTCATCGTATGTTTTCAGAGGCTTTCCCAAAGGTTAATATCCTTTTAAAGTAACAGGGGTACAATAATATTGTGTGCTTAAAGATGCGGTCGTGCCTATGCTTTATGCAATCTCAAAGTAAGCTTAGGAGTGAGCACATCTAACTGTCGATGCGTGAACTCTATAACACATACGCCGTCGCCACACCAGTGTAATTTCGCTCAAAATTCTTTCTTATTGTGCCCATGATTTAATGGTTTGATGTGAAGGGCTTTTACACCCCCCTGTATCACAAGTACTGTTTTTGGAATAAAGTAAATCATTATTATTATTATTTTTATATCCCGTGTATCGTTAAGCTGTTTTACGTCAAGGTCCAGGTTTCTGTCCTTGGTAGGGTTATGGGTGCTCAGTACTGGGGTCCCTATTAAGGATGAACCAGCTGTCCAGTGCTATTTGGATTGTAGGGATTCTCTAAATTATATCATCCCTTGATCAAACAAGTGTAATCATTTCTAAAGTCTTAAAAACCTGGTAGGGTGTGAGCTTTTTCTTGATAAAAAATGATCGACCTCACGAGCCTCGACATAACATTATTCCCGGGATTTATTCTTTAACTTGCATATCTTCTTACGGAGTACAAAATAAATAGTCCGTTTCATTTCGTTCTCCATGCCTAATGCATCTAATAATGCTCACTTTAGGTTTCTTAGAATCAAATGGGTGGTCATCAGTTTCTTATCTGAACTTTTATTTCTGTGAAATAAGGTTCATTCATCAACTAAGTTCGGTGTTAGACTAGGCACTTTAGTTAGAAAAACCATTTGGATAGATTTTGTGTGCTTGGGATTTGAACTCTGTTTCACTGCAAGTTAGACAGAAAAAAGCTGTGGTTTCTAGGACGAAGTTGGACTTTCAAATGCTTTCACCTCAGAGAATGATTCCAGCATAAAGGTGAGGGTGCTTAGCTAATCGGAAGGCTTTTAGGTATTACTTTGGAATAGTAGCCTGTTGAACGGAAAATAGCTTCAAATGCATTCTAATTGACGTATTCTCAAGGTTTCAGAACGCTTTATGGTTTGGGATTCGAGGCGCTAAACGTAGTGATGGACATTTCAAGAACGGACTATTGGAAACTGACAGCCTTTTAGCCTGATCGTGCATACATGCTCTTGAATAAGTTTGAAACAAGTACTTATAGAACAGAATTTAGCTCTCAGACAGATACGGTCATTATGAAGTAAGTTACATATCAAGCTGGATGTATGAGGATTTATCCTTCTATCAGGTTGCTTGAGCTAAATTTTGGTAGAGTATAGCGTAAACTTCTATTTAGTTGAAATTATGGTAAAGGTGTCAAATAAACCTTCAATAAACAAGATGTTGGATCATTTGAAAGTCCTGTAACATCTAACAATACTTTTATTCTCTTGGTTTGGGAACAACTTATCTCACTATCCTTAGCATTTAAACGAGTATGTCTTCGTGTGCTTTTGGAAGTGTGTGGGCGGTTGTTACTTTCCAGCTGCCCACGCCGTGGAAGTTGATTGACTCTTCGGGTACCTGAAACAGAAAGAGGGTTAGTGTTGCGTGACCTCAAAGCTCACTGGACAACTGCTTAAGGCCGGTCACACACGGCCTGTATGAACTGGTTTCTTCGATTGGTTCAGTATTAGTAAACTTACCGCCGGTTACGGACCACCATAGGGTAGGTCGAGATGTACAATTTTTGGGGTCGACTTTTTCTGACCCCCTCTCTCCGGAGTGGAGAGACAGCATAGCTGGCATGCTGGTCATGAGGAAAGCACATCACTGCTGTTACACCCCTGTTCCCCAGCAGTACGACTTCACCCTCAGACCCCCAGCATAGTGTAAGAAAGATTCTTACACAATGACGGTAACTGCTTTTAGCCTAATTGCTATCCTAACAACCTTCCTGGCATGGTACAACCAGCAGGAACATATGTTCTAGCCAGTGTAGCTTGGTGGGACATCGCTATGTGCAAGCCCGACCACCACGTCAAGGTAGCAGCTATCGGTCGGGTATGGGTAAGAGTATCAAAACTGGAGTACTGAAGAATCAATAAAACTCACCGTCATATGCATCAATAAAACTACATGATTATGTGTTCAGTCAATGGTCACTGGTTCGAATTCTGCCTCACTTGATAGTATTTCAGGTGTCAGGTGGCACCATTAATTTACAAGTGATATTATGATCGAAACTTCATGAGTATTGATAACAATATTTTTCTTTAATTGCAGATCAATTTTTTCAACTGTCAATTAAGTGAAGTTCACTGAATTTTATTTACTTTGGACATATCATCAACAATAAGCCTAAAGTCCTTTCAAAAACGAATATGTCGACAGAAGTTACAGAAGATGAACGATTGATCTCTGAGGCAGCCTCATATTATCGATGTAGAGATTTTAAACAGTGTTCCTTAATTATGGAGAAACTTAAAATTGGAAGGTTAAATGATACAAAGGTGAGCTATGCCTTCAAATTCATGGTTAAGTCAAGATCTGTGTGTGTGTGTGTTTTCTGACATCATATTTAATGCTCAAAGCCCATTTCTTCTTTCAAACTTTATTTTGCAATTAACAATGTAATTAATCCTAAAGAGTATGATATTGACACTGTATTTCTATTTTTTTACTGTAGGGTCCCCGAGTGCTTATTCATACTTTCATGAATGCTAACCAAAATAGACATTTCAGGCTGACGGTGACTTCATGAATATCAGTACGAAAACAGTAGGCATTCTATAAGCATGCTATAGAGGAGCTTTAGTAAAACTTCGAAAAGATGGATATATGATTCTAAACAGATTAGACAAAAACGAATGTATAGTATTTTGATTGGACACTAGTAACTAGTGTGATGTGTCTAGTCATTTCTTTGGTGCAGACTGGATTCTATCAGTCAGCTTTTGCAATGTGGCTACCATTCAAGGTAGCTCACCATCACGATACACATTGGTTTGATGATATATTAGATAGATGGAGGTAATCGGCCAAAGGAAGCCTTGGACCTAGGTTTCGTGCTAGTTGGCACTCGTCAGTGTTAACGTCTCTGACTGCAGTACTCACTGGGTGATGCGGGTTCGAATCTCAGAAGGGACATGAGTTCCTTCAAGGTTGCAGATATGCCTTGCTGACTGACTGGTGAGTGCCAACTAGCACGAAACCTAGGTCCAAGGCTTCCTTTTGCCGATTGCCTCCAACCATCTAATATCATAGTACTAGTGTTTCTTATGTTCTTCTGGTTTTGCTTGAGAACTAAATGATCAATTCACCTAGTCTGAGTTTTGGGTGAATTTTACTCAGCAACAAACCGATAAAAATACATTTTATTCTTTCGATTGCAGATAAACATGAATAATTCCCTGTTGAATTATGTACACAAGTCAAGCTATTCAGCAAGTGAACAGTATATCCGAGAATTGAAACAGATAGCAACTGTTGAAGGAGTGAATCTTGATGATTACGATGATAAAACAGGTTCCCTGGGAAGACGTAGTTCCGATCGTTTGGATGAAGTTTGTAATTCAAAGGATGTATTATCTAGCCAAATAGCACCACAATTTGTATCAAGATCTTCCATAGCAATCAATTTGTTGTATAACTATTCTGTTGTATTGTTTTATCAACGACAATACACTCAAGTGGAAAGGCTTCTAGCCACTTGTCTTGATATTTCAACCAACTCGGAATCAGCAGATAATAATAATAATAAAGTGACTATTGCAAAGGGAGTTCCATTGGCTAGTCAGTCACCAAGTTGTATTGATCAACCGACAGCTAGTTTAATACAAACAATGGATCTAACACCTTCAACTGATCTCGATCTTTGTCGACGGATTATTCTTCTCTGGCTGGAAGTTTCTTTAAGACTATTTCAAGCTGAACGTGTTTTTGAACTGTGTGGTAAGTGTTTAGGAAGATGTGTTACTCTTCCTGCATTTTTCATAGCTATAATATTTATCTGAGTGTGTTCTAATAGTACCATCTGATTGGTCACAACTTGATATTTGCAGCAGTATAAGTGTGAAAAGAATGCAGCTTGGTGAATTGCTTTTTACATACCTGAATGAATATAAGACACTGTCTGTCTGTTTTCGACATAGAACTTTGCACCGATGTGCGGCAGTTCAAGTCGCCACACTCCCTCCTTGTAGCACACAAAGCAAGAGAAGAAAGTAGAAGAAATGCATAATAGAGACAGTAAACACAGGTGTGAGGGACGGTAAAAACCAATGAGGGCTGGAAACAACTGGTGATATGGTTCAAAATCGTTCTCAGTGGCTGGTTGGTGCAGATGCATTCACTTCTTGTGACTTATGATTTCCAATGAAACTATGTTGTTCTTCGTTATTACTATTCCTTTGTCTCACACCTCTGTTTACTGTCTCTATTATGCATTTCTTCTACTTTCTTCTCTTGCTTTGTGTGCTACAAGGAGGGAGTGTGGCGACTTGAACTGCCGTACATTTGTGCAAAGTTCTAAGTCGAAAACAGACTGAGAAACAGACAGACAGAATATTAAGAATATTAAAACTGACATGTCGGCTGGGAACATCATCACTCACTGAGAAGTGCATCCAGTTGACGAGTCCGAAACAGGACGAAATGCGCATCCTGGATTCCACTGCTAGTCACCATCCACCAAATAAATACTAATGAAATGCTCAGATATCGTCGAAGCATCTGCACAAGAAGCTGACATGTCAGCCTGAGACCGAGCACTTCGGTCCAACCAATCGATGGGAAAATCTAAAATCCAATTAAGATACTATAAGACTGAAGCATCCAAAATGAAAGCATTACAATTTTTAGTTTAAGTGTCCATCATCAATTTATACGCTTTTAAAGTTGAAAAGAGGGAGGAGGGGTAAGACATTGCAATTACCAGACATATTGTTGATAACGGACATCTCGTAGAGATTTCTAAGTCCTTCAAAATATTAAATAAACAAAAGACAGGAAATTTACTACGATTTACCGAAGCAATCGCAATCAAACGATTCGAACCAACCAGACTTATACATGCAGAAATAGAGTGTGATTAACCTCTCACTCCCTTGGTAACTGAATTTTGATTTTGATTACATTAATTAGTCATCTAATTCAGTGATCTCAACTCACTGAAAGAATCCAAATCTTATATACTGTAACCGCTCTTATTTTTTGAGTTGCTGTGTGAACCTACAAGCTAACACTGTTCTGTTTGTTAATTTTTTCTGTTTTCTATCTGACCCTTCCCCCCCTCTTTTCTACTTTGAAAGCGTATAAATTGATGGTGAAATCTTAGACTAAAAATTGTAATGCTTTCATTTTGGATACGTTAATTTTATAGTATTTCTTCTCTACTACCACTCAAGCATTAAAGTATGTTATTATCGTCTATATAACCATTGTAATTACAGGTAGTCTGCAGCAGCTGATGAGAACCTGTGAAATAGAATGATGATATCACATTTTATACTGCAAATTTCGTCTTCCTTTCATAATGAAGAATACTCGTATACACTTATTTTTCGTTGCTTCTTCTTTTATAGACTATTGGATCCTGTGTCTTAATTCATTGTCAGTGACATGCGAATCGGCGAACAACACACCAGTAAATACTTGTTCATCACTTGAACAACCAAATCCTAATTCACGTCATCTCAATAATAATAATAATACTATTTTGTCTGTACTACTTGGAATTAAAAAACCAATTCAATTGTATTATATTAAAGCTTGTCTATTGACAGGTCGTTTAAATGATGCAGAAAATGAATTGAACTGCTTCATGTCAGAAGATGATGTTCCCATCGTGAAAAGTGAGGAAAATCCGCCGAAAAATGAATTCACACCGTTGCCTGGTGATGATAATAATGCTGGAGACAGGAAATCAGAAACAGCTTCACAGTCGAATCCTAAAGATGATAATAATAATCATTGTTCAACTGTTGACTGGTCTACAGGGAATGCTGTGTACTTTCTTCAAGCTCAGTTAGCTTATCTTAAGGTTTGTTGATGTTATACTTTGAAAATACCAATTGGTTTTGTGTAAATTTGATATAAGTATAAAATTTGGGTACTGTGGTAGAATATAACTCCATTATGGATAAGATTTTATTTTGATAAATCACACAGTGTGGTTATACAGTAATATTTACTGATGACCACATTTCGAGCACAATCTATGGCTGCTTTTAATCATATCAAGGCACTAACCACACAACTTTTTTCCTTCATTTATATACATGTGTGGAATTGACTAGATATTTGAATAAAAATCATTATAGGATAATGTACATTTAGAAATAATAATAATAATATGAGTGTTATTGATCAAGTACAATCAGACGGGAAATAAGACGAGTGTATTTATAGTCAAAATAAGTAACTTGTTAGAATGTTGTGATGTGCTTCTGTGTTGTATATTTATTATTATTCCCTTGAGTTCCGAGTGGAACATAGAGCTTCAAGATTCCATTTCATCCTGTTCTCTGCGGTTTTCTTTAGCTAGCTCCATGATCATCTCCATGACTTCCTCCAGTGTCCAACTCGCCACTTGCTATTCGAGTCCCATTCGAAGGTCTGGCGAGTGATGTGACTCAGCAGTCTTCTCGGCATGTGTCCTATCCATTTCCATTTCTCTTGCCATATCTATTGGGAAGTAGGTTCTTGCCTGTTGGTTCGTTTCCAGAGTTTCTGATCTTCAGTATGGAGCTACAGATGGCAATCGTTGATGAAAATCTGCAGCAGGCTGTTAGAAATACTTTTCGTGACGCCCTTGGCTAAGCTTCTGACCCATATAGAAGAGCTGACTCTCCTAACATTGGTGTTGAAAATCTGTATCAATTCTATGCTGCACTAAAGTTCTTCACGAATGATTCCTTGAAATCACCAGTAGACATTTTCAAGCGTTTATTTCAAGTTTGACCATGGATTCACTGATATCAACTAGAGAACTGTTGAAAACCACTAGCTGGGAGTATTGGACAGCTGTTTCCTCTGTCCTAGTTTCAGAGTCATCGGGAGTAGGCATCTACCGCCGGGTTTCGAACCCAATAACCCCCAAGTTACAAGTCAAGCTCGTAGTCCATTCAGCCACTAGGACCAGACTCCTCATTGACCAGTCCATGAATTGTAACTCCTAGCAATTCGTGATTTTTTAGCGTGAACACTAGCCATTTTATCATATGCACGTGCAGAATAGGAATCCAAATTTTAAAAAAACATACGAAATGGTCATGCCTCAGGTTAACATGTCGACTTCTTGTACAGATGCTTCGACGATGTCTGGGCATGTTATCAGAATTCAATTGGTGGATAGTGACTAGCAGTGGAATCCACTGGGATGCGCATTTCGTCCTATTTGGGACTCGTCAACTAGCTGGATGTAACTGCATTCCCCACTGAGTGGTGATGTTCCCGCCGAGGCTCGAACCTAGTGCCCAAATAGGACGAAATGCGCTTTATCCTGGATTTCACTACCAGTCGCTATCCACCAACTGAATTCTAATTAAATGCCTAGACATTGTCGAAGCATCTGCACAAGAAGCTGACATGTCAACCTGAAACCGAGCACTTCGGTCCAATCAATCAACGGGAAAATCTTAAATTGAATTAAATAATTAATATTGTAACAACAGAAGACAAGGGCCAGATAACAGATCATTTATTAAGGAAATCAATACATATTTATAGATTTTCATGTACATCATTATAGATTATTGTTAGCAGAAAAACACTGTCTTCTGGTTGGTTGTTTCTCACTGAAAGTTAATCTTTCATCTCTTTGCGGCTGTTTCTTGAATGTCAGATCATCTATATGCTAACTGTACCCGCCTACACAAAGCCTTTGTTCTCATTTTTCTCACGACCAATATTGGGGACGTAAACATTGACGTAAGTTACTATCTACCGATTCGGTTAGCAGACAGCTCTCACCACAATATGACCCGTTGCACAGGAGGCAGTGGCTCTCGTAGCCCAAGTGGTCTAGTGGGTAACGCTTTGGCGTTTGAAACTATGGCCATCGAGTTCAAGCCTCGGTGGTGAGAACATCATCACTCACTGAGAAATACAGGCATATACAGATGACGAATCCCAAATAGGATGAGGTGCGCGTTATCGTGGATTCCACTGCTAGTCACCATCCACCAATTAAATTCTAAATGGTTATGCATTGTTCCCTCCGCATTTTGGAGGAATTTTTGATTCGATTCAATTCCTTGTAGTTCGTGCAGTTATTTCCAATATTCTTCGCTTATTACTATTATCTTATCACTAGTAATAAAACTAATTAGCTCTAAATGCCGTTTATTACTGTCACTATTATTACTTTTTTACTCGGACTGTTTTATTTATTTGTTTTCATCATGAAACATATTCTGATAATTGACGATGATATCTGTCGTACATAATATATGATTATATTTTGACTATTTGTATTGTTATTATCCACACTGTGGAATAGTCAGTTGACTGGTTAGTCATCAATATACATAATATGATTGACTGAGTGACTGCCTGCCTACCTGTTCGCCTGCTTCAACTCAAAGGATTTCTCTTTATTGTTACATATATTATGTAATGATTTTGTCTAGTCAGTTAGTTAGTTAGTTGTCTAACAAGTAAATCTGATGATAGCGTCTACTTTTGGCTTTCTGTCTCTACACCTTCCCATTAGGAGTATCTTTCTGCAAAAAATACAAATCATTTCCCAGTATGCATGGCCAAAATGGGGTTTTGATGTGTAAAGTTAATTTTTGACTGAATTGTTGGGCATTTCACGTATTGAATCTTATGAAGTAATATCCTAGGTTTGTATAAGTTTACTTCAAAGTGAACTTCAGCACTAACCTGAGTCATAACACCAACACTACCGACAACAACAAGCCAATATCAATGACCACAAAAAAGTTCATCCTACTATATATATAAATAGAAAATATCTCTGAAATAACAGCTAGAGTATTAAGACCGTAAGAAACCTCTATTTATTAAGTTACAATTTAGTGGTGACTTATCAAGTGAGATTTTATTCCAAAGACTTTCCAGGAGTATACGAAGAACATTTTACGCAACACACCCATATTTGTCATTCTCTAACCGACGAATGATTGGGAGGCAAATGAAGGATAAGCTTGATAGTTTTGCCACATATGTGTGCATTTATCAATTCAACTACACCTGCGGTGACAGTTGTGTTGTGCGTACTACTAGACAGCTTAGCCAACTACCGTGTTACTGAACATCTCCCATCGTGGTTTGGCAAAGGACAGTTAAAAACAATGCGTAGCTTGATTTTGTCACATCTAGTTGATAGTGGTCCTGTATTGGAGAAAACGAGAGCTTTCAGGGTAATTCATCGCAGCTCACCGAATCTTTCTAATAGACTTCGTATTCGTCTACTGCACACAGATGAGGCAGGTGATAGGCATTCGAACTATTAAACGTAAACTATGCATTCAAAGGAAGTTCGTACAGTCATTATCCCTCCCTTGCTTGGCCTATTAAGACATAAGCAACTAATGACTTCTACACCACCCCTCTTGTTTATATTTTCAACCCCTTTTCTTATCATCCTTTAATCCTATCACATCTTCATTGAAAACGTGTTTCATTTACTTTCCTTGCAATCTAACATTACTTAATCGGTTCATTTGTTTTTCTTAGCCTTTATCGACTGCTTCTACCTGAACATTTGTTTGTTTAATCATGCTGTTTTTCATTACTCGTGTTATCACAGATTGCCTCACTTTTTCATCCTTATTATTGATAAGGCCATTATTATTATTACTATTATTATTATCATTACTACTATTATGACTAATTGCACAATTTATATTCACTATCGTATTATCCCATAGACAAATCACCATGATTGGTTTACATATTTGAATTTTTATTTGTAAACTTATGTATATTAGAGTTAAGCCTGATGGATCTAATTGAAGGCACAATAATGTTTAGTTAAATGTGTTGTTCTAAATTGTACTTTGGGGATATTTAATATATTGAAATAGATATAGCGCACAAGCCAGGCAGTCAGCACAATCACTTCATTTTATATTGTCCAAACCAAAAGATCCATCCAACAGAAAAAGAAGATAAAATTAATTTACAAAATAAATTGCATGAACTGGAACAGACATTACATCGGTGGTCAAATTGGGTATCCCCTTCGAATCTGATATGTATCCATATATATATATATATATATATATATATATATATATATATATATATATATATATATGGTGGTCTCTTTCTGTTGCTCTCTCAGTCTGTGACCATTTCACCTTGATGAACCTGTCTCCTTTAACAATGTATATTCCCCTTATATTATATATAATATGAGTGTTTGTTGACAGTCCGTTGCTTGGTGACAGATATCCATATTATATGTGTGATTGTTGACATGTCTGCTATATTTTGCTATGTATATATGGATCGATACTTCATTATAATTAGCCATTCATGTTAAGACTGTCTATTGATTTGTTCACACACCTGTCTGGACATTCATATATATTTCGCTCTCACAATCTTGTGTGACTACTTTGGTGTGATACCACTTATTGCTTCTCCTGGTGTTTTGGAAAATAGAAGTATCATCGCAAACCTAGTGGTCTTCTGATTTCCGTCTTTCTTGCGTCAGGACTATTAAAGTCTAGACCAGTACATAACAGAATCCGAATCCGTATCAATTCATGTGGATAATTATGGACATCAATTTCATGATTGGGATAATGTGGGAATTTTAAATAGAGGAAACACCAAAACTGTAGTTAGGAATTCTTAGAAACTTGGTACTCAAGTGAATCAACCAGTGATTAACAAACACACATTACTATAGACCAAATTTATCAGCTAATAAAAAGTAAATCACATGACAGGAAAGTTCAAATTCTAAGTCAATAAAACTGGTAAATAGAGACGTAAATTAACAACAATCAGTCACGATAGTGGTTACCAGGAGACACAATCGCACCTTCATTCATGGAGAATTTAAATAAGTTCATTTTTTATACTAAAACCTGCGCTGAAGGGGATGTTGTCTTGAAGGTAGACGATAAAAGGCTTCACAATTAAGTCAACCAGCTCAGAAGATACAACTAATTCAATATTATCCATCTGAGCTACAAATCTTCTCCATCCTTCTGAGAACTAATGAAAGCGGAATTTAACCTAAAACCGATCGATTCCTTTAGATCCTAAAGACTAGATTTTGATCGTTACTTATTGGTGAGCAGCTTCTAGATGAACTCCTTTTGAGTTCTGTTGACAAATATTGTTTACTGGTGGGGAGTGCTAAATGTGACTGTTATGAGAACTAGCGGATGATATTGGATGATTACTGTCGTGCAGTATTACAAGTCGGTGTAAATTAGAAATTGTAGTCCATTGGAATGTAATTGACTCCGATGGTAACAGTCTCGCATTATAATTAGGGAGTCATCAGCCCAGCACTCCAAGTAATCGATTTGATACAAACTAGACACAGTTGCTCAGTGTTATTTCATTCATGGTATGGCTCACTGATTCAAGCAATCTGATATTTTGCACTTATTCTAAGGTTAGAATTCCGTCCGGAAATACTGAGTGCTCCACTTTTGTGTGTGGTTTAAAGATATACAAACTTGTACTGATTATTATTATTATTATCATTGTTCCCTTGGGTTCCGAGTGGAACATAAGGCTTCGACAGTACATCTCCACTTTGTCCTATTCTCTGCAGACCCATTCAAGTGGTCCCACGAGAGTGCCTATAGTTTCTCACCTACTCCGCACACGATCTCCTCCACGTCATCCTCAGTCACATACCCAACTCATCGTTTCCCATTCAGGCTCCACTCCAGCTATAACCTGGTGTGAGATGCCACTCGACGGTCTCCTCATTGGCGTGTGTTTGATCCATCTATGTTTTTTTCGGGTATTTGTTGGGCGATTGTTTCTTCATTGTTTCATTCCTAGGGTTTCTCCTTGCTAGTGATTTATAGTCAACCAGCTGATGTTCAATATGGAGCCAGTGAAGATGACTGTTAATGAGGATTTTCAGCATGCTGTTAAAAATACTTCTCTTGATGTTCTAGCCAAGTTTCTGATACATACAGAGATGCTAACTGACTTGATATTTGTGTTAAAAATCCGAATCGTGTTGTTTATGCTGCCGAGTGGAGAAGATTTTCAGACAGATTTCAGAGTGATCAAGACTTACCTTACCGATTGTGGTCTTCAAATCCTCATCGATGGTGTAGCCTGTAGTTGAGACGACGTTATCACTCCGTTGATAGTGATTGGCGTATGTTGTTGTTCTTATTGAATTATTTTCATCACTGTCGTTTTCTCTATAGTCACTTAAAGTGCCATCTCTGCTATCTGCCCCTTCTGCCAATTTGTTGGTTTTCGCCTGTAAATCTTAGAGTTTGTGTGACATTAGACATAAATCGTCCATGAAGTCCATATCTGTTAGAGTTTCTGTACTGGTCCAACTTATTCCTGTCTTCTCGCTCCCCACTTGCGATGCTCAGCGCAGTCTAGTCCATCACAATCAAGAATATCATCTGTGATAGTAATCAGCCTTGTCTGACTCATGTCTTCCCTTCAAAGGCTTCTTCTCTGAGCTTTCCATTGTGAGTCACCTGACATGTAGAATCATCGTATATATCTGTTGAATGAGGTTAATAAAGGTTTGAGGTACTTCGTAGTATTGAAGAAGTTTTCAAATCACTCCCTGGTCGACGCTGTCGAAGGCATTTACGAAGTCGATGAAGTTAAGGTAGAGGTTTGACTGCCGTTCTATGCCTTTGTTCTGTGATGATGATGGGTAGATTTGTAATTTGATCAGTACATGATTTCCTTTTTCTGAATCCAGCTTCTTCTTCATGGAGTTCTGCATTCAGTTTATATTTTATTCTTTCTAGGATGACGCGATTTAATATTGTGGACAAGATTTAATATTGTGTGGACAAGAGTATAATTCCGTGCCAGTTTTCTCAGGGGCTTAAGTCTCCACCCTTTCTTCGGCAATTTCACGTGGTAACCTTCTCTTCCAGTCAGTAGATGTCTTTCCTTCCTTCCAAATCTTTTTCAATGGTGATGTGAGAAACCTTTGCTTATTCCAAGTATTTTGTTTTCCACCATGGTGTCGCGTGTTTAGGTCTACAGTCAGACACTGGTTGATACACTGTTCAGTGAGTCACATGTGAAGACCAATTGGTTGGCCAAACTGCAGTCGATAAGGTGGACTTCGAATTCATGCTTTATGTACAAACTTCTTGGACTGTCATGCTACAGATTTGACTTACATTTATAAACGACAGTTATCAGAATATTTTGATCTGTTGCTAATTTCAGCTGTGTACATCACAATTTTCCAGAGTTTTTTTTTATGTTAATTCTTTCTGAAGAGCTAATATCCAGAAGGAATTTGCAACAGGAAACTCTGACTGGCTGGCAACAAACCAACCAAGAACCGATCGCACAACAAATATGTGGGAGAATATGGAGATGGATTGATCGGGTATACGTTGACGAGACCGTCGAATGACGTCGCGCGCAATGCAGTCCATCTCTAGAGTATATAATCCGAATGAGAAGCGACGAGTGGATCATCCCTTCAAGATGACATAGGGGAGATTGTGTGGTAAGGACGAGATGAGAGATTATAAGCAGTCGTGGACCTAGCTGAGGAGGACTGCAGAAAATAGAACAAAGTGAAGATGTGTTATTGAAGTCTTATGTTCCACCCGGAAGCCGAGGGAAAAAAAACTGAAATAAAATATATTACAATTATGACTAAGTAAATGCTAGCTATCGGGAGTAACTAATTCTCTTTTCTGTTTTCTTTCAGGGCTGTTATAGTGATGCTGTGAAATCGCTTTCGTCTATTCCACCGCCTTCATACAATTCTTCTGTAATGAATGACTGGGAATCTATCATTTTAAAGAATAACCTCGCTTTACTTTATCATCGTACTGGACGATTTACTTCAAGTGTGATACACCTTCGAAATGCTTTGAAACAAGTTGATAAGACACTTGACACTGCTACACAATCAGTGAATACTGATCTTCGTTGTATGCTAAATCATCAAAATGGTTGTTTTTCTATTGGTGAATACTCAGAACTGTTAAATCAGGTAAATTATATATATATATATATGCATGGTTTTTAAGAAATTACACCCTAGGAGCGAATTCAAACAAAGGTGTGAATGCATCAAATAACAATAATAATAATGAAATGAAAGTGTTTGCAGTTATAATCATAGTTAAATATCAAGTGACAAGTTGCAGAATGCATAGATGTTGGAAGAGGGTGTAAACTTATAGGAATTGCAGGCAAATAAAATATAGTCCTGATGGTGTGAAGAAAGAGTTAAATCTTCTGAGAAAAATCCTAATGGAAAATGGATTTCCACCACCTACATACACTCAAAACCTATGGAATGTGATTAAAGTCTGTAATCGAAAGAATGCTGCACATGAACCTGGAATTCAGAGACAAATTAGCTGCTGACATTCTGAAAAGAAGGATTTCATAGTCCCTGAAAAGAACACTCTCTGCAGCATCGTCGGCCATTACTATTTAATAACCTGAAAGATAAGATCCCGCAGTTGTCCACCAACTCTGTTTGCGTTTATTAATTTGCCTGCTCGTGTGGAGCTAAGTATTATCGGTTGTTCGACTAGGGTTTTGTACAAGAAGTTGGAAGGACATTATCCTGCTTGGTTACGGAGAGGTGGAAGTTGGGCTGTAAGAAGTGCAATCATTGAACATCGGATCTACGCTCGTCATCTTTACGGCCTCTTCCTTCAAACTTATCTGCAAGGTGAAAAATAACTTGTCGAAATCACTACGTATCCGACACATCTGTATTGCTTAAGTTTAGGTCATCGAAATAGAAAAAGCTGATCTCTGTATACAGAAGAAGTTTGTATTCCACCTCTCCAACTCTCATGGTTTTAATCCGTCTATGCCATAGTGTGATAATCCCCCACATTCATACTTTGGCCCTACTTATTCTTTCGCTTTTGTTTAGTCATTTTGTATATCCTTTCCTGTTATGTCGATTATGACTATTATAATTCTCACTTTGAAATATTTCCGGTGTTATTTCACTTGTCCCACTTGTCATTCTAAGTCGAATTTGTTTTGGTCATGTTGAATTCTGTCTTATCGAATTTCACATCATGTTATGTAGCATCTTTATTTGCCGACAAATCCTATAATTGTGCACCCCTTTCCAAGATCTGTACATCTTATGAACTATTCTATATATTTTCAAGTATTGGTTTTGTGAGGATTGTGTTTGATTGTTTGGAGGATTTCATCATGAGCTGACATCACCAGAAAGTACTGGACAGATGTTTCCTCCGTCCGAGTTTGGAACTCTTCATCATTACCCACCTACCTCCACGGTTCGAACCCAGAACCTTCTGGTTACAAGGCGAGCTATCTCGTAGACCATTAAGTAACTCACTGGGGCCCGATCCAATGGCCAGCGCATGAATTCTAACTTCTGCCAATTCATGAGATACCGTGACCACCTCGCAGTGTCTCTTCCTGGATTCGAACTCTACGGGTGGATGTGTACTGATGAAGAATCCCAAACTAGGACGAAACAACTTTCCAGTACTCCCAGGTTTTACAATAGTATTCTGTATATGATGTTATTTGTTTTGCCACTTGTCACTTGATATTTAACTGTGATTATAATCACAAACATTTTAATTACATTTCATTCAACTATTATTATTTTATGTATTTACACCTTTGTTTAACTTCCCTCACGGGGTGTTATTTCATAAAAACCATGTATATATATATATATATATATATATATATATATATGATTGTACAGCTTCTTAATAATTTCGTTGTAAATAGTCTTTTCGCTGAATATTGTGTTCTTAAATGTTACAATGGGAATTACTAAATTTCTGTATTATTGTGTGCGTCAACTTCAAAAGCAAACAGTTTTTTTTTTATTTGGAATTTTAGTATAAATGGCCGATCATTTATCATTTTGTTTTTTTTTTTTCTGCTAAAATATGCAGTGATACAGTGTTATTAAGAATATGACATTTTGGACAAAATTTATTACTTGTAAGCACTATCAACTTTTGATGCTGGGTTTAATGTCTTCAAGGGATAATAGAATTTCTTTTACATTGAGATTGATGGCTTTTATTGTCTTCGTTATTTCACTTGATATATCTTATTTCTTTAGATTCCATTACACGTTTCCAGTTTGATTGAACACTATGAATTAGTTTATAATTATGGGATCCAATTGTTATGTACACAAAGGCCTTTAGATGCCTTCTCTACTCTATCACAACTTGTTCGTATTTATCCTAGAAATCCACGATTATGGTTTCGTCTTGCTGAATGTTGTATAAAATTACACTGGTAGGTATGTTATTACTATTATTATTATTTGTTATTCACAGTTTTCGTATTGGCACAGTTAATCTGTTACGACTATTACTACTACGGTTTTTGTTAACTTAAATTTTCATAATGGCTACAGAGTCGGCGGTTTAGCGGTAGAGTGAGTGCTTGCCAACCACGCCTCATGTGATTCAGGGTTCAAATCTCGACGGATGCATTCCTAAACCTCACTAAGTTAGTATTAAGCCCGCTAAACACGGAAGGTTGGGCGTGGGACTAGCGATTCCGTCCCGTAAAAATGACTCCATTGCTACTGAAACTTTTGGGCTGAAGCTTGAAGCTGGAAAGAGAAGGGAGTAAAATAGTAATAGACAAAATGGCTACATCAACTTCCGTATAAACTTTCAAGTAATATTCCGTCTGTTTGTCTGTTTTCAACATAGAACTTTGCACAAATGTGCGGAAGTTCAAGTCGCCACACTCCCTCCTTGTAGCACACAAAGCAAGAGAAGAAAGTAGAAGAAATGCATAATAGAGACAGTAAACACAGGTGTGAGACAAAGGAATAGTAATAACGAAGAACAACATAGTTTTATTAGAAATTATAAGTCACAAGGAGTGGATGCATCTGCGCTAGCCACTGAGAACGGTTTTGAGCCATATCAGCGATTGTCTCGAGCCTCCAGTGGTTTTCGACCGTCCCGAGGACCTCAATCAGGAGTTCTACACCTTCCTACGTGGCTGGCTTAAACCAACTGTTGTGGATTTCATTGACTGATGAAGCCATGCTTTGGTTTGACCACCACCGCTAACTCTTCCAACCTGATCTTATGTCAATCAGCTAACATTGCTTATCGGTCGAGGAGGGCGATGGCTAGGAATGCATATGTAACACATGTCCTAATCATCTCAGTCGATGTAATTTCACAGCCTCGTCGATTTATTTCCCCTCCTTACCTAGTACTCAACCGAAGCCTCACCTCAATATTGCTCACCTTATTATACCACCTAACACGGGAGATACAACACAGACACTTATAATCAAAGACAGCTAGCTAGGCTTTTCATGTTTTCCACTCTCAATGACCAGGTGTCACAGCCATAAAGGAGGAGGGACTGGACTGCTGAGCAGTACACCTGCCCTTTAGTCGATAGTCGGATATCCCGTGTACGCCAGAGACGGCGTAAGTTGGCATATACGAAACTAGCTTTCTGTATCCGTACTGAGATTTCGTCAGTGATCAACCCATTGGGGCTGGCTGATGGTACTTCCAGATAAGTGAAGCGGTCAACATGCACTACCACTTCACTCCTTATTTCTAAGCTAGAAGTCAGTGTAGTCCAGTCTGGTTCTCTTGATAAATTTTGGTAGAACACGAAAGATCTTACTTGCAGTAGAAAAATGATGTCATCATTCTATTTCACATGATATTATCAGCTGCAAACTATCTGAAATTCTCTAGTGGTTATAAAAGAGGATAAAAGTAACAGGAGAAGCCAGAAAACAGAAAAGTCTTACACAATGGTGTTCGCTTATAAGTTCACATAACAACTCATTAGATTGAAAACTTGCTCAGTGAGTTGAAATCACTAATATGGATGACTAGTCAGTTATTAAGGCAGTAAGGGATTGATCACATTCTCTCTTTCTGTATGCATAAGTTTGGTTTGAAGCATTTGATTGCAATTGCTTCTGCAAACCGTAGTAAATTTGTTGTTCTTTGTGTATTTAATAAGATATGGAAATCTCCATGATATAAATGTCCCATGTCCAAAAGGTGTGTAGTAATTGCACTTAGCGATTATCTGCTTGCTTTTAAGCATAGACCCCTTGGCTTATGCTCTGAAAATCTAATAGAAAGCCTTCTTTCTGTTCTTCCACAGGTGCACATAAACTTATAAATGCACTTGGAGGTAACATCATTAGGGTACTTATCCAGTTACGATTGGCTTATAGAGCATGTAGTGCCGTATAGGGTTACCAGCTTAGCTACAGAGAGGCATCTTTTTATTGCTCCTTTCATCCTCTTGTCAATGATTTGTGATACTGTTTCACCTTTGAATGGGAGACAAATGAACACTTTCTTGTTTTCAACAGTTGCATATTTCGTTTTCTCTTCCTTTTCTTTGCTGTACTTTTGGATAAATCCCCTTTTGGGTACGCGTTTTCCCTTAGACATTTTCAACAAAGTTCGCAACAGTGGTAATACGAGGCAGAAATGTAATAGAAAGGGGGGTGATGGAAGAAAGTAATACAATTAAAAAACAAAAATTACGTATCCAGTTTTAAGATAACAGATCAGATCCAATGTACATTTCATGACTGAGTGATTTAACATGGGAATTGACATTGCTTTTGTCGTTTGAAGAGAAGTTTGATTTGTACTCCTTTGGCATGATTTCTGCGTACTATGTAGATGAATTTGAAGTTGGTTTCTATGTCTGCCTGGTGTTCAAAGAGTCGGTCAGGTGTTCCAGAATAGAACTACTGGTGGGTGGGTGGGGTGAGGGGTCTTCTTCCTCTTTTATAAAACCATGAGGTTAAGTGTTCGATGCTTCGTTTAGATAGCAAACGCTTAATATCACTACCGCCCTACCTATCTCCACAGAAGCAGACGAGGTGATAGATACACACCGATGAGGGTAGCAGCGATATCTTGTCCTCAATGTTCATATGAATCCTTAGTTTTGCAAAGGAATTGATTAGTACTTCGGTTGTGAACAACGTTTCCCTCACTGACCGAAATAGGCTATTTCTTAATATTTCTGCCTATTAGTCTCCATTGAATTGAAGATTCACATGGAGTCTTTTTTGGGGGGGTGGGAGGAGGGGGACAGAATGTTTGTTTTCGGGTAGCTAGTTTTAATCAAAATCCCTTTCAGTATGCTTAGCTCGTCTTCTATGGTGGTGTCACGGTTGAAAATGTTGCATAATCTATAGCTGAATAAACGGATCAGGTTTCATTGTGTATAGATAAAGCCATTGAGTAAAAAGTTTTGTAGTTCGCCAACTTAATAATGATTTGTGTTTTTGTTGTTGTTGTTGTTGTTACCCTTTCCTTTCTATTCAGTCCACATAATTTATCACTTTGGAAATTGGAGTCAAGAAAACGCTGTGTTGTTGAAAGTGTTGGCTGTGGTGTCTTTCGTAAATTGATGCTTGCCAGTGTGAATCCAGAGGTAAGTTGAATGCTTGTATACTGTTCTTTTTTATGTTGTTTATTTATTATCAAAATAAAATAAATAATTATATAAAGGTTATACTCCGAACTAATAATAATGACGCGAAACGAAACTAACCAATAGAAAACCTTGAGAAATCTCTACTGACCAATCGTCAAATGAGTCCAAAGTAAAAGCGCATAAATTGTTAAAGAAAACCCGCTTATATAAAAGTAATGTTAAGTAGGTAGCTATGTAACGACAGAAGACAAGAGCCAGGGAACAAATCGTTTATTCAGAAAACCAACAGATATTTATAGACTTTTATGTACATTATTATTAGTGTTATTGTTAGCAGAGAAGCAACGTCTTCTGATTGGTTGTTTTCTTGCTGAAGGTTATTCTGTCATCTGTTTTGTTGCCGTTTCTTAGACAGTCTGCTGATATACATCTGCGAATCGTATCCGCCCAGGCTGTTTGCTGTGAGATTGGTTGTTGAGTTCCTCAAGATTAGGCTTTGTTGTTATAAGAATAAAACTTGTGCACTGTGGTAGAGTGTAATTCCATTATGGGTAAATTTTGTTTTGATAAAGTCTCACAGTGTTATACAGTAATGTTTACTGATGACGTTTCGAGCACAATTTATTGCTCATAATCATATCAAGGTAATCACACGACTCAGGATGGTCGGGGGTGGGTGTCTTGCGCTGCGGGCTAGCCACCCCTCCGTACACCTCTTGAAATGCTCCCATATGACCGTGCGTCTTACATAGCCTCTCCTGAGGAAGTCCTACTCACTGCCTTCACGTGGCGGAGGTGTTTTTCACCGAAGTGAGAGGGCAAAAGCGGATGCCCGGCGCTCTTCACCGGGTTGACTGTCCATTGGATGACAGTCTAGGGGAGATGGCTAAACCCTGATTCCAAACCTCCAACGACTGGCGTATGAAGCTCACCGGCAGACGTATGGACAAAGAGCTTATTGGATGCCCTGGATGTCTGGCCCCATTCAAAAAGGCGTATGAACCGGTCACCGGCTGCCAATGGATAGTGGACTCCCTACTCCACTCCTACTGCCTTGTAGGTCACACTTGGCTGTGTAAAGGCTAGAGCTGCACTCTCAAACAAAAGGCCGAGCGATGCTGGGGACATCACTCGTACCCAATTCCCATGAAACTTCATCAACTCTCTTACAAACATTCGAGATGTTCATGAAGCCGGTTCATCCTCCCGTAGGAGATAGCCGAACTAAAGAAGAAAGAAGAAGAAGAATCACACGACTTCCTAAATTCATTTATATAGTTCCATTGTTTTTCTCTTGATTTTCACTTGATTTGTTTGGTAGCAGTATTTTCCATATTTCGAGTATGAGTGATGAATCATTTCTATTGCATGTGTTGGGTGTAGAGTCAATGAACAAGGATTCCGTAATCAATCTCTCTCTCCACCTACCTAGATTACTTTTTAAAGTTTTAACCCTCTCCCACCCTATTGTGTGGTTGTGTGTTAGCGCATGCATTGCAATTGCTGAGCTTTTTTCTAAATTACTTATTTTCTCGGGGTCAACCATTCTTACCTTAGCTAAATTCTTATGCTCTGACAATCTGACTACCCCCGACCTACTAGTTTGACCTATGTAGTTGACCTCACAGTCATTGCATGGTATTTTGTAAATAATATTATTTTGTCTAATTGGGTCAACTGGGTCCTTTAACCTACAGAGCTTGTCCTTGAGTGAGTTTGTAGGTTTAAATGCCACCCTAATTCCTATTTTATTCAGAATCCTACGTAGTGTCTCAGACGTCCCCTCTTTATATGGTATAACTGTGGATGACTTATATTCTTTCTTATTTATGTTATTATTACTAGTTTCACAATTATTTTTATTTTGTTTTCGGCCTTAAATGATCTTCCTAATGAATTTTATAGGATAGTTATTCAACACCAACTCTTCTTCTATCTGTTTTAATTCATCATTTAGGTCTTTTTTTGTGCTACTTAGTGCCACTGCTCGGTTTGTTAAACATTTAACTAAGCCTGCCTTAACAGTTAAAGGATGAGATGAATTAAATTCTAAATATCTATTAGAATGCGTTGGTTTTCTATAAACACTAGTGTGTAGTTTACCTTCTTCTATTCTTTTTATCTTACAATCTAACATGGCTAATTCTCCTTGTTCATTTTCTGATTCAAATGTGAATTTTATTCCCTCAACTTGTGAGTTTATATGTGTCAAGATGCTAGAGATGTATTCTGTTTTTAACACTGTGAAAGTGTCATCCACATATCTCCACCATATTTTCGGAGTAGGGTTAAATGCATTGAGGGCACTATTTTCCCAGCTGTCCATAAATATGTCTGCTACTACTACCAATCAAATCAAGAGAAAAACAATGGAACTATATAAATGAATTTAGGAAGTCGTGTGATTACCTTGATATGATTATGAGCAATAAATTGTGCTCGAAACGTCATCAGTAAACATTGCTGTATAACACTGTGAGACTTTATCAAAACAAAATTTGCCCATAATGGAATTAGGCTTTGTTCTTGTTTTTTCTCATGACCAATATTTGGGACGTAAACATTGACATGAATTGTTGTCTACACCAATTTTGTCTTGCAGACAGCTCTTACCACAGCTACACAGGGTAGCGTTCCTGTATCTGTTTCAACAAACCCTCCGAATTACTCATTGAAGTCCTCATAGCTAAGCCAAACTATTTTCATTGAGATAACTGCAAATCAGTATGTTTCTTTACCCATTCACTGCTCTGATCTTCTTTTGTTAAGTGACTCCAGAAACTTTCGATGGGTTATGTGTGAATCCCATCGAAAGGCCTAACAAAACTGTCTGTATAACTGATAATATTACGAATATAACTCAGGAATGAGAGTTAGCCTTAGTTACTCCATTGGCCTGTGTGTATGGTTGTGCAAGACTGGACTAAACATTGCCACTACAATCAGGCATCGTCCGAGTTTATCTTTTCTGCAATAGTATTTTTTTTAATTCCTTTACGTTCCCAGTGCTGGAACATAGGGCTTCAAGCTAGAGGCCTGAAGTTTCCGTAGCAGTGGTGTTTATTTTTACGGGATGGGGTTGCTGGCCTCATTTGGCCAACCTTCTCTCTTTACCAGTCTTATTACTGGCTTTTCTAGGTAAATGAGTGCGTCCGTGGCCGGTGACCGAACCCCTGACCCACATGAGACGTGGTTGGTGAGCATTCTACCACTGTGCCATCGACGCTTTCTGCAATATGGTATCATATAATCCCAAAACCCACTACTGTTGGTCAGCACTCAATCTACTGCGATTATATTTCCTTTTTATTATAAGCACTGTTTCGTCAAAATGAGAACAATGACACCGACACCAGCTAGTATTTGGGTCATATTGTTCATTTTCCATGAAGGTATATGTTATGTACTAGTTTTCCCCGTAGCCAAATTGTTATGTACTCGTCGCCAAATTATTATGTTGTACTGGTCGAGAATTTAATAGTCCTGACGCAAGAAAGACGGAAATCAGAAGACCACTAGGTTTGCGATGATACTTCTATTTTCCAAAACACCAGGAGAAGCAATAAGTGGTATCACACCAAAGTAGTCACACAAAATTGTGAGAGCGAAATATATATGAATATCCAGACAAGTGTGTGAACAAATCAATAGACAGTCTTAACATGAATGGCTAATTATAATGGTGTCGATCCATCTATACATAGCAAAATATAGCAGATATGTCAACAACCACACATATAATATGGATATATATGTCACCAAGCAACGGACTGTCAACAAACACTCATATTATATATAATATAAGGGGAATATACATTGTTAAAGGAGACAGGTTCATCAAAGTGAAATGGTCACAGACTGAGAGAGCAACAGAAAGAGAGATCACCATACACATATATATATGTGGATACGTATCAGTATATCTATGCAGTACTGATACCACTGCACTGCAGACACTTGCGAACTTTCCGTTTCGAATGGTATCGCTGTAACTGTTTTTTTTCAGGACCCACTCTTGTGACTCGTCATCATGATTTTCGTTAAAGGCAACTTCGACTTAACGGGCAAAGTTCCTACACCATCTATAAACTGATTTCCTGCTTCAGTGTTCTGCGTCCCGGTACATAAATCCATCAATAGAGCCGGTGTATCTTTTTAAACGCATTACACCTCCATATCTACATGTTTCCTCCTTCCCAAGGAACCTGTTGTCTAAACAATATTTAAATACAAAAATTTGAATGAAATCTACTAAATAATTCCATTATGGATAAGATTTTATGTATCAATACAACTAAGTAATTCGTGTACAGCATCAATAATTTTGTCTATATACTACGGACACGTCTGATTGGTTGCTTAAGGTCACTATTATGTCCAATAGGTTTTTTTTCGTTTCGGGTCGCTATAATTTAGCGTTACTCATATAAATTGAAAATTACATATTGATACTGATTGGATGTTTTTTCTTCAACCTAAGATATTTAATTATCAGTATTTCATCATCACTTTTGTCAGTGGTATATACGGATTGATTCAACTCAGAGACGATTCAAAACAAGCAATAAAGGGGTTAATAAAGACAGGATTTAATGAATTCATCACATTTCGGTAGGAGCGCTCTTCATCTGCTAAAAAACCCGACATACATGGATATATATATATATATATATATATATATATACCTTAAGAATTACAAAGGGAGATATAAAACTGATAAGCAAATAAACTACACTGAATCGGTCATGTAAAACGACACGTGTAAATATTTTTCAGGTCATGTTCAAATAGTTAAGTAGGGGAAGGGAGTATGAGAGATTCAAATTAAGATAAAATGCATTACGCTTCAATTACATCACTTAGACAAACAATTAATCATTAGACAAAGAACTTGGATATATCAAGAATTGCGAACTGATTAATAGTTATAATAATAATAATAGTAATAGTGTTGAAGTAAGTTAAGATAATGCTACTGATAAAAGATAGTTTTAAATGAATCAGGAATAATAATACAAGGTGGAATAAAATAATAATAATAATAACAATTAATAAGTAGAACATATTACCGTGGTGGATTCAGAGCGACCACCATTTCGTTTTGTACACAGAGACTTGGTTTGTAAACTGTAATTGCATGCATCTTCCTGTTTCTACTCTGTCTGCTGACAATGATGGGGGAATGACTTGACCAGCATCAATATATATATATATATATATATATATATATATATATATATATATATCATGTCCGTAGTCCACAAGATGTTTTGTTAATGAGCTTTTTGGCACTTTGACCTTAGCTGTTTTCAACCACTTTGGTAAATGTTGTATCATGCGGGCATAGACAATAGCCTTTCTGTACAAATTATGTATTTACTTCCTCGCACAAACACACTCAAACTGATGTGAACGCAATTTGAATTGTCAAGCATTAGCGACTGGTCTATCCCCAGGTCATTGAAGCACCCACTTGAGCGTGTGGTGGTTTTGAAGACACATTGTATCTCGCTGATGTTGTTCCCGAGGAACTGAATTTGTAAGAATAAGGCGTTTTTAGGAACTGTTGGTGCCTTGGACTGCTTTAATTTTACCATTCATATTCTTATCAATAAACTTTTCTGGATAACCGTTTTCACTCAGCAACCGTTTAATATTATTAAGTTCCTCATCAAGATATTCATCTGAGCAGATTGCTGTTGCTCTGTGAACCAAGCACTTTATTAGATTACGTTTATGTGTCAAAGGTACGAAGCTGAAAAAAAATGAGTGTACTGACAGTCAATTAATGTAGATTTTCTGTGTACACTTCTTGTTGTTGTACGGTCCTCTTTTCTGGTCGCAAAGACGTCTAAAAATGAAATACTAGAGTCTCTTTTTATTTCTCATAAGTAAAATTTATTGTATGATGTACCTCATTAAATTTATCCAGGATGCTCTTTGCTTCCTTCTCGTTTTTCATTAATTAAAAAAGTATCATCCATGTACTGACAGTAGAATTCGAGTTCATCAACTGCATCTTTCAAAGGACCGATTTCCTGGTTTCAGAAGGAAAATGTTGTCTAGAATGGGACCTAGTGATGACCCCATTGTCATCCCCATCGATTTGTCTATATAGTTCCTTATTAGATAAAAAGTGGACATTCATTGTGCATTTCGAGAGAAGAGGAATGCCAACATCTATGTTTCGTCTTATGAGTTCTTCGCCTACAGAGTCCATTGTTTCCATAATTGGTACATTGGTGAATAAGTAAGATACGTCAAATGATATCATGAATTTATTGTCAACATTTGAATCTTTTATCCTTTCAACAAATCTATAAGTATCCTTTACACTGTGTTTCACCAACTAGGTATGAAGACGCCGTAAGCGTGTTCGACTAGCCATTTGGTTACGGGATAGTATAGTTGAAGTATTTGGCCTATTTATGCTTATTATTGTTTGTGTATTATTATTATTACTATTATTATTATTATTTATTTTTTAAACATAGACTGTTAATCCGAAGGTGGATGAAGCCCTGTTATCATCACCAAGCTTAGAATTCGCTTCTTTAGCATTACGCAATGCACTCCTATTACTGCCAATACCACCTGTAAAATTAATCACCAATGCATCTTCAAGCAAAAATACAATAACTTCATCGTATATAGCAGACTTAGTTAAATGGTCGAACAAACAGGTGAGTCAACCAGTTAGTCAGTCAGTCATCATAAAACAGTATTATTATTATTATTATTATTATTATTATTATTAAGTTTGACCACGGATTGATTGATATCAGTTAGAGAAAGAGTGAGAGAGACAGAGAGAGAGAAAGAACCATTGAAAACCATCTGGTAGTACTGGACAGCTGAAGAGTCGTCGTAGTTTTTTGGAATTCATCAGCAGCACCTACCTACCCACCACCGGGGTTCGAACCCAAGAGGTGTGGTTCGCCAGCCTATGAACGCTTGACTGTTAGCTAGTGTGTCGTAGTTTGACATGACATGAAATAACTAACTATTTAGTGTTGTTTTTTTTCTGATGCTCAAGGCTTCTCTCTCTAACTGGGATATATTAGTTCATTGACTAAATTTTCTTCGATCATTTCAGTTGCCTTTTAACATTATAAGAAAAAAATGTAAACAGCGAAGAAAATTTTCTTTTCGACGATTCATTTTCATAAGTTGTACACAATCATAATTATATTTGATTGCATGGAGGATTTCATCATGAGTTGACATCAGTTAGAGAATCATTGAAAAACTTGAGAGAACTGAACAGCTGTTTCGTCCTGGTTTTTGGATTTTTCAGCAGTACGAACCCACCGGGATTTGAACCCAGAACCTTCTGGTTACAAGGCGAGCTCGTGGACCATTGACCCGCTGGGACCGACCGATCCAATGGCCAGGCATATGAATTCTAACTCCTGCCAATTCAAGACATAAGCGCGACCATTTCGCAATGTCTTCTTCGATAAGTTACTGCCTCATCTTCAACCTGCTGTACCCTACTGGTCACGGCTTCCCACTAGAACCCCAGGTTAACTGCCTGAATAGGGCCAGTCACTAGTGAGCATCAGATTAATTTTCAAGTATAGGTTTTGTAGGGATTTAGTTTTGATTGTATTGAGGATTTCACCATGAGATGACATCAGTTAGATATTGATTATATTTAGCAAAGAAATGTTTAGACCAATCAGATACTGGCAAAATTTTTCTTCGAAAGATGTATTACGTTATGTATGATGTCACCTAAATGGGGATTGACCAATTCTAAGTTAGAAAAGATGCAGAAGTTGGCATGACGTAATAAGTGTGAGATTATGACAAATCAATAAACTCGTGTAGAATGGACAGGAACTAGTGGAAAGGCTATAAAGTGTTTTTTTAATATAAAATCTGTATGAAAAAGCAATGTTATCAATAAACAGTAATAGAGTGGTAATAAAATATGGATGGTGGGAATATTAATGATAATGGTTAGCCAAAGGAGAAAAGAAGAATAGCAACAGCTCCATCCTCGAACACCCTTTCATCTAGCACCCCAACTTGCTTGAATGCTTCACAGTGCTACACAGAGTCCCTCAATACCGTACGAAAGGACTTCGAATACGCCATCTGTACATGGCTGAAGTACTAGCTATTCGAGATCTGAAACCCGACCTCTGCATTCAAAAGTACTACAAACATTCACTCACCCTACCGTGGCCAGCATAAATCTCTTACTATAATTTTGTTTCTTCTTTTTTATTATGTAAGTTTATTATTATTATCAATACCTTTATTATCATTATTATTCCCATAATCCACATTTTATCACCACTCTATTGCTGTTCATTAATAGCACTGCGTTTTCATACAGATTTTATATATAAAAAACACTTTATCGGCTTTTCACTAGTTCCTGTTCATTCTACACAGTCATATTGATTAGTCATAATCTCACACTTATTACGTTATGCCAACTTCTGCCTCGTCCTTTCTAACTTTCGATTAGTCATTCCTTCTAGGTTGCACCTTACATTACGTAATACATTTTTCAAGGACAAAGTTTTCCAGTACCTGATTGGTCTAATGATTTCTTTGTTAAATATAATTACGATAGCGTACAGCAGCTTATGAAAATGAATCATCGAAAATAAAATTTTCTTTGCTGATTACGTCTATTCCTTATGACTCAACATGGGAATATTTCGTTCATTCTCTTAAAGTTCATGGAGGGTTTTACAAACAAGTGATTACCGTTACAGTTAGAGGTAAACGTCTCCTTGATTTGATGGTATTAGATGGTTGGAGGCAATCGGCAGGAAGCCACGCTTAGACCTAGGTTTCGCGCCAGTTGGCACTCACCACTCAGCAAGGCGTATCTGCAACCTCAAAGGAATTCATATCCCTTCTGAGATTCGAACCCGCGTCACCCAGTGGGCGCTGCAGTCAGAGCCGTTACCACTGAGCTACTCGGGCCCGCGATTGACCTCCTGTAAGACTGTAGTGGATATTTTGATTTGACACTAGTAATAAGTGCGATGTGTCTAGTCCTCTCATTCGTGCAGACTGAATTCTATCAGTCAGGTTGCAGATACACCTTGCTGACTGGTGAGTGCCAACTAGCACGAAACCTAGGTCGAAGGCTTCCTGTGGCCAATTGCCTTCAACCATCTAATACCATCAAATCAATGTGCACCGTGATGGCGAGCTAGCTAGTGGCATGGTGGCCACATTACAACCTGACTGATAGAATTCAGTCTACACCAATCAGAGGACTAGACACTAGTTACTAGTGTCAAATCAAAATAAATGTCTCCTTTTTGTCTTTTTTCATATTTCTATGTACATAAAGTTGCTTGACTATATATGTTCACTGTGTGGAGTTGTGCTCTCTCAGTGGGACATAGGGCTTCAATCCTGAGCTTTCAGGTTTCAATATCAGTTTTACAGAGTGGTGGGGTGGTTGATAGGTTCACATCCAACCTTTCCTGTTCTTCGGGCTTACAATCGGTTAAGGAAGGTGAAAATGTGCGTTGGTTGGGACGAGATATGAACAGCGGATCCACTGCTCAAGCACCGACTCACATTCCAAAAGAACAGGAGATATAAATATCTTTATTACGAAAAGTCCTAGGCATGACTTACACTTTGTCAGTGCGATTAAATCGTGTTTGACTGTGTTCCTTTAACATTTTTATTACTTTACTCTTATTTGAAACATTCAATATTGATCCGAGGTTATTATTATTATTTTCTTTTCCGCCTAGTTTGTTCCAACTTATCCATCGCCAACACCATTGTGGGGTATTGGATTGTTACATTTTTTATCAGCATTACATGTGAATATCTCGTATGTGGCATTGTGTTTAAACCAACCTATAGAAGCGATTCATTCTGCTAGTCAAATGTTAAGTTTTATTCCTCAGAATGAAAACAGCCCCGTTGGTTCAGTTAAATGTGGAACTTATGGAACTAATCTTGGTGCTATCGCCCCTAAAGCGCATAGTTATTTGTGTCGTATTTATTATGCTGAAGCTTTAACCTATTTAGACAGGTATGTTTCTATTTTTAATTGGCGGCTGTCTTTCATAAATATAATTGTTCCCTTGGAGTCCTGTGTGGAAGACAGTGAACTTCAACGGAACATCTCCACTTTGTCCTACTCTCTCTGCAGTCCTCTTCAGTCGGCCCCATATGATTCTCCATATGCTGTTATCTCCGCCCTTGCACGATCTCCTTCATGTCACTCTCAACACATACCCAACTCGTTGTTTCCCATCCGGGCTCGACTCGAGTTATGACCTGGCGTGAAATGCCATTCGACGGTGTCCTCAGTGGAGTGTGTCTGTGTGTGTTCGATTCATTTTCTTCGGAATATTTGTTCAGCAATAGTTTCTTGGTTGGTTCATCCTCAGAGTTTCTTGTCGCTAATTCTTTCTGACCAGTCAACCATGTGATCTTCAGGATGGAGCCAGCGATCGAAAGTGGTAGTTGTTGGGAAGCTTTTCGTGATGCCGGCACAGTGCAAGTTTCTGATTCATATAGAAGTGGCTAGCTAAACATTTATGTTGAAAATCGAATTTTGTTGTTTATGTTGAGGCGGAGTGCGGAGATTTTTCAAATTGCGATGAAGGTTTGTCTTGCCTTTCCGATTCTCGTGTCTGGTATCCTCATCCATGCTATCGCCTGTAGTCTGAATGATGTTGCCTGACGGGATAAGCGAAGGAAATAACCTCTTTCAAATTTCTTCTGTTAACACGGAGTGTGATATGCAGGAGATTTTGTGAAGAGGAGATGAGGGCTTATGGAGAATCATGCGGTCAAATGAAGAGAATTGCAGTGAACCGGACAAAGTAGAGATGTTGTTGACTGGCTAACTGACTGGTCTCAACAAGGAACTTTGCACAGATGTGCTCCGGTCACAGTTGCCACACTCCCTCCATGTATCACACAAAGCAAGAGAAGAGAGTAAAGGCAGACAATAAAAAGGAATGCGAATTAGGCAAAAAGAATAGTAATATGAAGAACAATAGAATTTTATCGGACATGATGATCACAAGGAGTGGATACATCTGCGCCATTGAGAACAATTTTGAGCCCTATCACCAATTGTCTCCAGCCATTAGCTTTTACCTCCCCCCCCCCCCCCCCCCACGAGGACCCCAACCAGCCAAGAAGTCTACACCATCCTTCATGGCTTAAACTAAATATTGTGTATTTGTTACAGGATTTCATCATGAGCTGCACTGGTTGGAGAACCATTGGTAAACCTGAGAGCACTGGACAACTGTTTCGTCCTAGTTCGAGACTCTTCAGCGGTACGCCCCACCGGGGTTCTAACCCAAGACCTTCCGGTTACAAGGCGAGCTAGCTTGTAGACCATTAAACCATTGGGACCTGATCCAATGGCCAGCACATGAATTCTAACCTCTGCCAAGTCACGACATAGCGTGACCCCTAGCCAATGTCTTCAACGAGTATTTGTCCTCACACCCGACCTGCTGCACCCTACTGGTCACGACTTCTCACCAGGTGATTACCCACCTAAATAGGGCAAGTCACTAGTGCGCATCTCATCGATATTTAAGTGTTGGTTTGTAGGGATTTGATTGGTTACAGGATTTCATTATGAGCTGACATTGGTCGTAGAACCATTGGAATCATTGTTGTGCATTTCATTGACTGATGGAGCCATGTTTTTGGTTTGATCATCACAACCAGTAGCTCTTTTCCAACCTGATCCTATGTCAGTCAGCTAACATTGCCTCTCGGGGAGGCGATGGCTAGAGATGCGTAACACATGTCCTAACGATCTCTCTCAATCGGTGTAACTTCACAACCTTGACGACTGACACCCTATGCTTCACCTAGAACCCAAGGGAACAATAATAATAAAAATAACAAGTACAGATTATTCATTTTCTTGCTTCAAGTCAGAGAATTTTATTATTTACTCAGTTGAAGCTTAATTTTTTCCTCATTCACTCTTTTTTTTATAGAATAGATGAAGCTACATCTCTGTTACATATATCCTCAGATAATGAATTCAATTCTATTGCACGTTGTTTAAACGGGGTATGTTTTGAAACACCATTTCTTTTCCCAAATATTGATGAATCTGTGAATAACATCACGGAGGTATGTAATCAATTCAGTCAATCAACGCTGATGATGAATACTCATTCTAAACAGTCAGTGACTAGACCAATTGATTTTCCTGCTAATCCCTACAGGTTAGTTTGTTCAGTTATGGTGTTATTGGCTTACTTATTGAGTGATTACAAACTGATGTGTAATACTTTACGTGTTGAGAATATATGCAAGTTGTTGATTGACTTAATTAAAGTTTTGTACAAGCAATTAGGGAATCCATATTTAATTGGTGGATGGTGATTAGCAGTGGAATCCAGGATAAGGCGCATTTCGTCCTATTTGGGACTCGTCAACAAGCTGGGTGTACCTGCATTTCTCAGTGAGTGATGGTGTTCCCACCACTGAGGCTCGAACTCAGTGCCCATAGTTTTAAACGCCAAAGTGTTATCCACTAGACCACTTGGGCCACGAGAGCCACTGCCTCTTGTGCAATGAGTCATATTGATTTACTTGAATTTTAGATACTCCCGTCGATTGATTCGACTGAAGTGCTGGGTTCGAGCCTCGGCGGAAACACCATTACTCACTGGGAAATGTGCAGGTACATCCAGTGACGAGTCGCAAACAGGACGAAATGCGCATCCTGGATTCCAGTGCTAGTCACTATCCACCAATTAGATACTAATTAAAAATGCCTAGACATCGTCGAAGCATCTGCACAAGAAGCCGATATGTCAACCTGAGACCGAGCACTTCAGTCCGATCAATCGACTGGAAAATCTAAAATTCAAGTAAATTAGTGAATCCTTTTATCTTACTTGCATAGTCACCATAGACTCCTTCGATTCCTAGCTGAAAGGTTGGGACTGAGTGAGTGAAGTAGCATCAGCCCCAAAGGATTGATTGCTCCTGACGAAACCTCAGCATGGATACAAAAAGCTATTGTGGGATTTGACAATACATTCGATGTCTGGCGTAGATGTGACACCTGGGTATCCATCAAAGGACGTGTGTACTGCGCAGCGGTTCTCTCTGTCCTTCTTTATAGCTGTGAGATATGGCCATTGAAAGTTAAAGACTTGAGAAGACTAGCTGTTTTTGGTCATAGGTGTATGTGTTCTATCTCCCGTCTTACGGGGTTAATATTGAGATTAGGCGTCAAGTGTTAGGTGAGGAGGGAAATTCAATCTACGAGGCCACTAAGTTACATCGATGGAGATGGTTAGGACATGTACTACACATTCCTAGCCATTGCCTTCCTCGACGGCCAGTGTTCCAATCTTGATTCAAACAATATAAAGCGTGTGTATTTAAATTTACAAGTATTGGTTTTTGTGGGGATTTTTTGTTTGATTACTCCGAGGATTTCATCATGAGCTGACATCAGTTGAGGGAACCATTGGAAAACCAGCCACGAGAGTACTGGACAGCTATTTCATCCTTATTACGAGCTCCCTAGCCTTGTAACCAGTAGGTCCTGTGTTCAAACCACAGTCGGGTGGTGGGTGCGTACTGATGAAGAGTCCCAAACTCGGATGGAAGAAACAGCTGGTTGTCCAGCACTCCCTGGTGTGGTTTTCCAATGGTTCCCTTAACTGATGTCAGCTCATGATGAAATCCTCATTACTAATATATGTGTAAAACTTGGGCACTGTGGTAGTAAGTAATTCCATATTAGTTTGTTTATCAGATGTATCACACAGTGAGTGAAACAGTATTAGTATTTACTGGATGACGAAGTTTCGAACAAAATTTATTGTTCATAATCATATGAATTATAATCACAGGACTTTGAAACTTGATTTTTATGGTTTTCTTTGTCTTCTCTTATTTGTCGTCGTTGGGGTAGTAGAATTTTCCAGATATCTGGGTGGATAGGTGTTGAATCATTCCTATTACACATCTTTGCAGTTGATTCGATAAACAAAGCTTCCGATATCAATCAGTCTCTCCCTCCACCCTGTTACACTGGATTTGAAAACTGTCATCTTGTCCCATCCAGCCTATTGTATGGTTGTGTGTAATTGCATGTGGTGAGTGCTATAGCTGAACTATTCTCTAGACTTCTTATCTTATTTGGGTCAACTAATCTTGATTTTGCTAAGTTATTATGTTCGGCTAGTCTGACTGACTACCCGTGTTCTACTATTTTGACCTATGTATTTGACCTGACAATCATTCCAGCAGGGTATTAGATAAACGAAATTGCTTCGTTTATTTGGCTCCACAGGATTGGTCCTTTATCCAGCAAAGCTTGTTTCTAATTGAGTCTGTGGGTTTGAATGCCAGCCACTTTTATTCCTGCCTTGTTAAGAATTCTGAGTAAGGTTTCCGAGGTTCCTTCATTGTATGGAATTACTACTGATGATTTAGATTCCTTATTGTTGCGCAAGACAACACCAACAATAATGAATCTTAATTATCATTAGTACTTGTATACATAGAAGGAACCTCAGAAACCTTACGTAGCTATAGCACTCACCACATGCAATTACACACAACCATACAATAGGCTGGGTGGGACAAGATGACAGTTTTCAAATCCAGTGTAACAGGGTGGAGGGAGAGACTGATTGATATCGGAAGCTTTGTTTATCGAATCAACTGCAAAGATGTGTAATAGGAATGATTCAACACCTATCCACCCAGATATCTGGAAAATTCTACTACCCCAACGACGACAAATAAGAGAAGACAAAGAAAACCATAAAAATCAAGTTTCAAAGTCCTGTGATTATAATTCATATGATTATGAACAATAAATTTTGTTCGAAACTTCGTCATCCAGTAAATACTAATACTGTTTCACTCACTGTGTGATACATCTAATAAACAAACTAATATGAAATTCTCTAGCCCAATGGATTTGAATTCACCCAGAAATTGTGGATCACTTCAGGTTAGTGAAAAGTTTAAGTATTCAAAATCATGTTAGTCCTTATCTAATTAAGGTAAACATTCTTTGCAGAAAATGTCTCATGTCATAAATTTTTCACTTTTAATGATCGATATTTTAATCCTAGTAAATGTTCTTTGTATTTTCCTCTATCTCTTTTTATCCTCTTATTATATATAGTCTTCTGCATTACTCGCCTATAATCTTGCAGTTCTACTGGCTATTCAAAAACAATACCGTTTATCAAAACAATATTTAGAAATGTCACTACCAGGTCTATTCATATCAGCCAATCAATTAGACGGTCGACAGTGGTATACAAACTTGTCTGAAGAGTCGCCCATTGTAAACAATTATAAACTATTACCTACATCAGTTGTGCTATTGTCTATTTACTTAGAAATAGGATTAGGTCATCAAAAAGAAGCAGCAGAGTTAATTCGTGAACATTTTGGTCATACGGCATTGGCTGGTCGACTTAATCCATCGGTAGTACCAACTGCACGTAATGCTAACGATGGTGGAGATGTCATTGAAGGCGGTGGTACTTCTGTATCTGATCCATCAATAATTGGTAAAAATATTCCTACAACATTCATCGAATTACAACAATTGATTAAGGGTCAACAACACCACCAGCACTACCCACAACAACAACAACAACAACAACAAAATGTTACTGGGAGTAACAGTAGCAGCAACACTATTTCTCAGACTCGTCAACCACCACCGCAGCCACTGTCAGCACCACCACCAACACAGTTCCAGCAAATGAATAATCGACCGACAAATTTATGGACACCATGTTCACAATTCAGACAATCTCAAGCTCAACAAAATCAACCAGTCTACTACTCGCCTTTATTACAAACTCAACCGGCACTACTGCCATCACAAACACAATCTACACCACTTGCTAATTATGAATATGCTGCTAGTCGATGGGATCAACAACCACAGCCACCACCAACAGCACCATCGACAACTGGTGTGATTACAGCGATTAATGAAAATGATTGGCCACCTTTATAATAATAATAATATATTGAAATGTATAATTTCTCTCTTTATCTTTTCTTTTTTCTAACTCTACTGTATTGCAGATTATAAATTTTGCATTTAATTTTGAATAGAAAGTAATTTTTTTCAAAATGATTTGACTCTTGTTTAAGTGTTTTAACTACTGTCTGTCTGTTTTTGACATAGAACTTCGCACCGATGTGCGGCAGTTCAAGTCGCCGCCACACACTGTCTCGATCTAGTTGGGGACGTAACTGTTTCGCTGCCGTCAATTTCTTATGTCCATTTAGTCTAGTCGTAAACATAAACCTGCGCGAACCAGAGCGTGATCAAAGTCTACGCACGTGTTCCAGAAGGAGCGACAGTCTTCTACTGACTCTCACCAACGATACCCTATGGCTATGTGGTCTATCTGAGTCCAGTGTTGATTTGGTGATGGAGGTCGCTAGGTTACACAATGTCTCTCTTTGTGCCTGAAGTTAGTGCTGACTAGAAACAGATGATTATCTGAGCAAAACTGTAGGAGACGATCACCGTTGTCGGTTCGTTGGCAGGGAACTCCATACGTACCACCTACATACTTCTTAGTCTGGTACAACTTCCCTACTTGGGCAGTGAAGTCGCCTGCTAAAACATCTATATCTGAACGTTTTGCTTTTTGCAGTAAATTAGACAGTTTCAGGTAGAAGTCATCCTTTAGTTCATCCGCACTGCAGTCTGTTGGGGCGTAAGCGGAGACTACGAAAAGGCGACGACGGGTTTTAACTAATAGCCGGAGGAGGAGGAGTACATGAAGGTAAAACTGGCGGTAAAACCATTACGCCCCCAGCTCGATCAGGAAACTAAATCCCTATTTGAGGAAGAACTAGCTAAACGCATATCTGAATCCGACAGCTGTGCTCACCCTGGAGAAGCCTGGAAGAATATTCAGTCAGCTATAGATACAGCTGTAAAAGCTGTGAATAAGACAAATCCAAAGGTGAGTAAAAACCACTGGATTTCGACTGCCTCATCCGAACTGATAGATGCTAGAAGACTTATTCCGGCGAGCTCCGAATTCAATGAGGAGCGAAAGCTGCACAAAAGGAAACTTACTAAAAGTCTCCGCAAAGACCGTGAACAGTGGTGGGTGACAAAGGCGAAAGAGATGGAAAAAGCATTGGCGATAGGCAACACTAGGCAACTCTTTAGACTCATCACAGAATCGGGCGGGAAAAGGCAATTCATAAGTGAGACTATTTCTGAGAAAAATGGCTCCTTAATTAGCTCTCAGGATAGACGCCTTGAACGCTGGAAAGAACACTTTGAGGAACAATTTAACTTGCCTACAGCCACACTGAACCTCCCCGCCATCCACCACGTACCCGAATGGGATATAGACACTGGTCCGCCGTCTGTAGGTGAGGTTACAAAAGCTATCAGTAATTTGAAACGAGGCAAAGCGGCAGGACCCGACGGAATTATTCCGGAGGTGTTTAAATATGGGGGTGACATACTAGTTTGTAGATTAACTGAGGTACTAGGCAAAGTCTGGGAATCAGAGACAGTACCATCAGACTGGGGTAAGTCACTCATTATACCGATATTCAAGAAGGGAAACAAGTCCTCGTGTGATAATCATAGGGGGATCAGCCTAACGAACATAGTCTCTAAAATCCTAGGCTCAGTAATCATGCATAGACTAAGCAGAACTCGGGAGGAACAGACAAGGGAAAATCAAGCAGGCTTTAGACCAGGTAGAGGGTGCATAGATCATATCTTCACTCTTCGACAGATTCTAGAACATAGACACACTTTTCGGCGTCCAACAATTGTCATATTTCTTGACTTGAAGGCGGCCTTCGACTCCGTGGACCGAAAGGTACTATGGCAATGTCTGACTGTGAAGGGAGTGCCAAGAAAGTACATTGCACTAATCAAGGCACTCTATTCAAACTCACGTAGTCGTGTAAGGGCTTATGGGGAATTGTCATCTGAATTAGTAACAACCAGTGGTGTCCGACAGGGATGTCCACTTTCCCCATTTCTGTTTAACTTCATCATAGATATGCTAATGGAAGTATCCTTAACTGAACGTAGTGACTTAGGAATCGACTTGTTACCAGGGAATAATCTAATGGACTTAGAATATGCAGATGACATAGTCCTGTTAGGGGAGGATGCTGACAAAATGCAGAGTCTTCTGAACACCTTGAGCAGCAATCTTCGTATGTTTGGCATGCGATTCGCCCCTGCAAAATGTAAGATGCTGCTACAGGACTGGACGACGTCAACCCCTAACTTAGTGATAGGGAGTGAAGTGATAGAACATGTTGACCACTTCACCTACTTGGGAAGTTGTATTAGCACCAACGGACTGATTGGCGATGAAATCTCAGCACGGATCCGAAAAGCTCGAGCTGCTTTCGCTGACTTACACCATCTCTGGCGTAGGCGTGACATCCGGTTATCAACCAAGGGACGTGTGTACTGCTCATCAGTTCGCTCCGTCCTTCTCTATGGCTCTGAAACATGGCCAATACGCGTTGAAGACATGAAAAGGTTGACTGCTTTCGATCATAGATGTCTGCGATCTCTGTCTCACGTTAGGTGGTTTCACAAGATAAGTAATGTTGACGTTAGGCGTAGAGTGTTGGGCAAAGAGGGAAAATCAATCGACGAGGTTATAAAGTTACATAGACTAAGATGGCTAGGTCACGTGGTGCGCATGCCTAACCACCGCCTCCCCCGACGGGCATTGTTAGCTGATATAGGTTCAGGTTGGAAAAGAGCCAGTGGTGGCCAAACAAAAACATGGCATCAATCCATGAAATCCTTGACAGTTAAACTGAGTCAGGTAGGGAGATGCAGACTCCCGGGTTGGGGCCCTCGGGACTCTAGGAATCAATGGCTGGAGACAATAGGTGACATGGCTCAAAATCGTTGTCAATGGCGCAGATGTATTCAATCTCTGTAATCTTTCATATTCCTTTCTACCATTACCCATTCTGTTTCACTCTTATATTTGTCAAACTCTATTAATTCTCTTCACTCATCTTCTTGTCTACCTCTGTGTGCTATTTGGAACGTGGCAACTCGAACTGCTGCACTTCGGTGCCAAGTTCTATGTTGAATCCAGACAGACAGTACATGAAGGTGGATTGGACTACCGAGGAAATCTACTATGATTGTTGTTGTAGACAACGAGATGTATTCTGAGTGAAATACCGTTCTCAGCCAATTCTTATTCCTTTCACTTGGTTAATCAACACCTTTAACGTTTGACTGACTGACTGACTGGTTTCAGAGTAGAACTTTGCACCGATGTGCAGCAGTTCAAGTCGCCACACTCCTTCCTTGTAGCACACAAAGCAATGGAAGAAAGTAAAAAGAAATGCAAAATAGAGACAGTAAACAGAGATATGAGGCAAAAAGAATAGTAATATTGAAGAACAATATAGTTTTATTGGCTATTATAAGTCACAAGGAGTGGATACATCTGAGCCGGTCACTGAGAACGATTTTGAGCCATATCACTAATTGTTCCTCAGGACCCCAACCAGGAAGTCTACACCTACTGACGTGCCTGTCTTAAACTAACTGTTGTGGATTTCATTGACTGATGAAGCCATGTTTTCGTTTGACTATCACTAGCTAACTCTTTTCCAATCTGGTCTTATGTCAGTCAGTTAACATTGCTTGTCGGTCGAGGAAGGCGATTGCTAGGCAGGCACACATAACACATATCCTAGCCATTTCTCTCAATCGATGTGACTTCACAACCTCGTGTATTGATTTCCCCTCCTTGCCTAGCACTCGATCGAAGCGTAACCTTAATATTGCTCTCACCCTATTATACCACTTAATACTGTAGATAGAACGCAGACACCTATGATCAAAGACAACTATCCGGCCTTTTTCATGTCTCCCACTTTCAATGGCCAGGTCTGATAGACATAGAAGAGGACAGAATGAACTACTGACCAGTACACACACCCTTTGATCGATAACCAGCCGCATATTACGTCTACACCAGAGACGGCGCAAACTGGCATATGCCAAACGAGCCTTCTGTATCCGTGGTGAGATTTCGTCAGCGACCAACCTGTTGGGCTGGCTGATGCAACCTGCTAAATAAATGAAGTGGCCAATACGTTCCCATAACCACTTCTCTATTTTTAAGCTAGGAGTCAGTGTAGTCCTGTCCTGTAGCATCACCTTTAACGTATTACTATTATTTTTATTCTTTCGAGTTCGGAGTGGAATATAGGACTTCACTAGTTAGATCTCCATTTCATCCGACTCTTCTTAGCTGGCTCCATGATTGTTCACTCGACTGATAGCTTGGCGCTTGATGTTACTTTCAACGCTCGCCTCAGTGTTTATCCAACCCATTTTTGGTTGGTACTATCCTAACTGTTAATCCTTTCTGGTCGTCTGGTCTACAGTATGAAGCGAAGAAGGCAGCTATCGATGAAATGCTGAAGCATATAGAAACACTGATTGTCTTGATATTACTGTTGAAAATCTAAATCTTGTTCTATATACTGAGTGCGGCAGATTATCAGACTGATTTCATAGTAATAACAGTCTTTCTTGCTTCACAGATCCAGTGTGGCTTTGACATCCTCCTCATCTGTACCGCCTATGCTTGGAACAGTGTTGATTAGATAAGTGAAAGAAGTGGCGTTCTTCAAAGCCCCTCCTGTTATTGGTGATTGCTGCTTGTTCTTGTTAGTGGCTCAGTCAGTGTCTTCATCACCTATGTCTCCTTTATGTTTACATTAAAAGTCGTATCTTCCTTCACCTTCTCTTTTGCTAACTTCTTGACTTGTCTGACATTACACAAATATCATCCTTGAGGTCTAGATCTACTGGAGTCTTCTTATCAGTCAGTCCATCTTATGCTTGATTTCTCGCTGCCTAAGACCTGTCTTATGATGCAGTCAACCATAATCAAGAATATCATCGGTGATAGTAGGAAGCCTTGTCGTACTACTGTATTTACTTCAAAGGAATTGCTGCGCTTTCCGTTGTGAATCACTAGACTTGTAGAATCATCTCATGGCTGTTGAATGAGATTGATAAAAGTTTAGCTACTTGTTATGTACTGGTCGAGAATTTAATAGTCCTGACGCAAGAAAGACGGAAATCAGAAGGCCACTAGGTTTGCGATGATACTTCTATTTTCCAAAACACCAGGGGAATCATAATGTCCCACAAGAGTGTGAGAGCAA